AAAAAACTGAGCTGCCAGTAAATGTGTCTGTTTCGTTTTCGATGCGCCACCCTGTATAGTAGCTTTCAAGAACTCACCTCCCAAATTATTTTATGAACGGACCAAGCGAGCTGAATTTTTAAAAATTCCAAAATGGCGGTGGGGAACCATCTTGTAATATGTATAAGAGGAATGTTAGGTCATCTAATACCTCATTTGAAGTCATTCATGAGTTCTGTATGACCCTATAAATATATCTTCCAAAATGGAGTGCTGACAAGGTCAAGCGTTATCGTCTAATTATAGCTCAACCAATCATCTAGTATATTACACCAACCAGTCTGCTTTTCCTAGAATGCGGATGCGTGGAATATTTCATTCAATAATGCCAAAATCAGTAAATCTTTTTGAACGGAATGTCCCATATTTGATTGCACACTTAGATAGACCCTCCGAAAAAAAGAGGATTGATGTACCATACCAGTTTCTTATGATTGGTTGTTGAGCTATGAGTGATGCTGTGTATAAATACCCTCAACTTTAGCAGTCTGCCAGTCTGCTATTTTGAAAGATAGTAAATTTAGAGTTAAGAAGTGCTCATAAAGGGCTTCAAAATGAAGTATCACATGACCCCTCATTTCATTCAAAAAAATTGTGTAAGATGAAACTTAGCGGCCATTTTGGAATCATCAATTAACATGTTTGCAATAGATAGATAGAAGTAAGGCTTGTCAATATGAAACTAAAAATGTTCTTAAAAAATACATGCATCAATTCGTCGTCCCAAAATTCATTTCGCTAGCTTAACCCATTCAAAATATATTCATAAATACTGAAAATTAAGGAACGAACAAAAAATTTTAATTAAATAGTAATTTAAAAGAACAAGCATTTATTAGCTATCAGTGAAAAGACTAAATAGCTTTATTATCATTTACTTTGTAATTCCAATTGAAATAAGTGAGAGCTGCGTGTTCGCTTCACTTCTATGTGATAGATACCCAAGCTACTATCTACGCTTGGCAATACTGAAGTATCAGATAATACAGCGCCTTAGAGACTTTTCTATACCTTTTGGATGCAAAATATTGGTAGCTTATCGACTACAGGACTGCAGATAATCTTGTCAGTATTTAAATATGATATTTAGCAAATATAAATTTTCGATGTCATTCTCAATTCGCGAAAAAGTCGGATGACAACATGGGGTCGCATGTGACCCCAAGCAGGACTACTGTTATTGATGATATTTTTCAATAAAAAAATTAATTAGTTTTAGGCAGAGAAAACATAAGGAATACAACATTCTTAAATACAAAATGAACAAACAGCCTGGCTGTGTTCGGCGCACAAATTACGCTTGCATGTTACACAGTTATCTCTGCCTCTTCTGCCTACAGTTCTGGGACATATATGGAGCAGCGCTTATTTCCTTTGGTTTCCAGTATAGGTGATACCTGGTTTACAATATCCCGTTCTGCTATATCCAATACCTGTGATAAATTTATTTCAAGCATCCTCTTCATGTGTTATTTGGCAAGCTCTTCACCCAGCTGCATTAGTAACATTAGTCGCGGTGTTTTCATAGTATTAAAACTATTGGGTTCGTAGATCAGATAAGAATTCACAGCACCCCCATCAAGCATACCGTATAATACTCTAAGAGGCCATATTTTCAATCTTGATACGGACTGACATAGCTGGTCAAAAACATCGACTCTACCTTTGATAGCATTAGAAAATAAATTAATTTTGGATTTCCCTGAATTCCGGCCAACCTCGTTATCGTTATGCATTGTTTACATGAGTATTACTATCTTATTTTTTTTTAGGAAATGAGACACCAAAACTACCTCTCCATCTAAAGCAAATCTGTTAGGCTCTAATATTTTTGGTTTAAGAAATTCGGTTGGAATTTCTGGTTTATTTTTCCACAAACGTTAGTTCTACTTCCTTCAATGATTTTGCCATGTCCATAGAGGAAAACCAATTATCTACAGTGATATTCCTATAAGTTTTGTGAATTAGTTCGGGTAATTTTAGAATATATTGTGTCGGTAACGGAAGGTTAGTTGCACGACCTTCTTTGCCAATATATGGTACTGCTGAAAACATATAGAACGTTTTTGCATCACACAACATCATTATTTTGATGCCGTATTTATCAGGCTTATTTGGGATATACGCTACATGCGAAATGGACAGCGGCCTCGAAAACCCATAAGTTGTTCATCAACAGTAACGTATTCCGTTAGCGTGCATTTCGACAATTTTCAACATATCTTTCTCAAATATTTCGAATAGCACAAACATTATCTAATTCTCTTCTTTGGTTTCGGGTTGGTTTATCATTGAATCAAAGACTTTTTATACGAAAAGAAAATCTGTTTTTGCTCATGATGACTCTAAAAACTGGTGCGCCATACTTTTTAGACCACAGCTCCTCTAGGTTAACATGATGATTATTCTTCAATATACCACTTATGTATAGTAAACCAAAAAGTGCTTCTAATTACGTTTTATCGGTCTGGCCTGTATATCTTTGTGATCTTTAAAACTGTGTCTGATTGCTGCTTATTTCTTCATTTGTAACAATTGTATGCATGATGTTCTCATCAAAGAACAATTTCCACAACTCATATTCGGTTTTCGCAAGTATGTGCTGCCCCTTTAGGTCCAGGAAGATGCAGAACCAAATTTTTCTTCATTGTTCGTGAATTTTTTGCATGAAAAGGTTTCAAGTTCCATTTGTAACCATTTTTTCCATAAATCACTCTTCTTTGTAGATCTGCTAACAGTATCTCATCGTCGGATGACTCGTCTTTAATAGGCTCATACACTATTTCGTCGACCTCCACTTTTTCTTCTTCCTAACGATCTTCAGCTTCACTTCCACTATCACTCAAGTCATTATTACTATAGTTACTATCCTCTTCCCTCTTTCGTAGTGTCTTACAATCTTTTCGAGTTCTTTGTCACTTAAATATCTTTTATGCGTAGACATAGTTTTTTATTCCGCAAATAACAACACGGGTCACGGGCGACCCCAATAACCTATAAATCGGATAATAATTGTCGACCGCAATCATCGCTTTGTGTGATAATACTAATGACCAAGCTTGAAAGTTAGGTGGAGGGAGACGGCTGCAGCAGAATATTCGTGAGAAATATGACTTAAATATTATTCGGCTGGGTCACGGGCGACCCCATGTTGTCGTTTAAGGGTTAGCTATCCGACCAAACAGCATTAAATAAATGTAGTTTAGATTTGGGCACATGAAACATTTTTATTTTCTACAAAGTTTGGATTTTCCGCCAATATTTTCTGATTGCAATCATCTATCTGGAAATCTAAATTAATAATTATTATTTTGAAATGGTGTTTCAATCACGTAAAGGTCAAAAAAAACATTTTATAGGATGCTCCTTTTTAATGGTCAATAAGAACAAAAGCTTGAGCCATTACTTGTTTGATTGATTTGATCTCTGCAGAACCGCCTCCGAACTTGGTACTGTTTTTTGCCATAGTCAACGTACAATGGACAGGAGGTCTCGTTGTTTTACAGGGCAGTTTAACTTGTTTTTGCAGAATCGACAAATTGTATGGGCGTATATCCGCCAGTAAAAAATTCGTTATTTGTATTATGGAGGAAACCTTACGAAACCCCACTGGAGAGAACAGACACGCCGATGTCCAGAAACAAATCTATCAAAGCCCTTCGCAATGCCAAATATGCAAGCTTTAGGCACATGGTAATGTCGCATCTAGAAAGCAGTCGCACTTTCTGGATGCTGGTGAAGTAGATTGAAGAAAACGTAGCCTTCCAGTGCTTACGTAGCAGGATGAAACGATTGTAACCCACTCAAAGGCTAAGACTGAGGCGCTTGCTGCCAACTCCATCATGGACGTTTCTTCTAACGCCCTGGTGTCGTCAATCCAAAAGGTTCTCTAAACTATGCTGTAAGCATACGACCGTAAGACGAGTGCCCTTGTCACTCGACATCAACAAAGCTTCTAATTCGGGCTACTGACTCTCGCTGTTGTACTGAAGGGATGTGCAGCGGAGCTTGCTTCAGTTCTTTCGCGTCTCTTTCAGATATCTTACGAATCCGGCACTTTCCCAGAAAACTGGAAATTTGCTCATGTCCGGCCAGTCCCAGAAAACAATCTAAGGCCGACCCTTACAACTATAGGTCCACAGATCTGCTTTCTATTATAAGTAAGCTTTGCAGATGGGTGGCTGATATCCGTTTCTTCTTAGTTACGAGGGATGTCTTTTAAGTTTTGCATATAGAAACATAGTAGGCCGCGCGGATCGAACGTCAGTACTGAATTTTAACCTCACTCCTTAGTAAACTTAAATTCAAAGTTTCACAACAATACGTGCAGTGTTCTCACTAGAGTGAATTTTTAAGTGTCACCAAGTCATTAGAAAAATAGAACTCAACCGAGAACATTTTCGCGCCATAATTTATTACAACTTTCATAGACAATTATCGCAACAGGAATGCCTTGCTGAGTTATTGTCTGTTTTCGGTAACGAAGCGCCACATAAGTCGACAATTTCCCGTTGGTATGGAGAATTCAAACGTGGACGGGTGAGTCGTAGCGACGATCCCAGGGTGGCTGCACCAAAAACGTAAGTCACCCAGGAAAACGTCGATGCTGTGCGCAAACTCATAATTGAAGATAGACATGTGACATATCGCGAGATTGAGGTATCCTTGAAAATCTCAAAGACCTCAATTCAAAAAATTTTACATGAAGAATTAGGAGTAAGAAAATTAGTTTCTCGTTGGATACCCCACCTGTTGACTGAAGAGCAGAAAGCAGCCAGGGTTAATTGGTGTCAAAAAACGCTTGACCGTTTCAATTCCGGGAACTCAAAAGATGTGTACAGCATTGTTAGTGGTGATGAATCGTGGATTTAATGTTATGAACCAGAAAATAAACGACAGTCGACTGTTTGGGTGTTCCAAGGTGATAAAAGCCAACAAAAGTCATCCGTGTTTCGAAAAAGATGGTCGCGACATTTGTGTCAAAAGCAGGTCATACTGCAACAACTCCTCTTAATGAGCAAAGAATTGTTACTGCGGATTGGTATACCACCATTTGTTTGCCAAAAGTCATCACCGAGCTTAGAAAAATCAACCCCGAAGAAAGAATCATCCTCCACCAAGACAATGCAAGCTCGCACACAGCCCAAAAAACAAGGCAGTATTTAACGGAAGAAAACGTGAAATTATTGGACCATCCTCCGTATAGTCCTGATGTAAGTCCTAACGATTTCTTTACTTTCCCGAAAATTAAAAACATACTGCGTAGTCCAAGGTTCCAGTCACCAGAGGAAGCAGTTGACGCATTCAAAATTGCCGTTTTGGATCTGCCAACGAACGAGTGGAATAAGTGCTTCGAAAATTGGTTCGAGCGCATGCACATGTGTATTAATCTTCGTGGAGAATACTTCTAAAAACAATAAAGTCATTTAAAACTACCTACCGTGTTGTTTTATTTCCATATGCAAAACTTAAAAGACATCCCTCGTATTAGAAGATTAACAGACTGACATACAAACAGCGATGGCAAATTTTGCTCCCGCTTGGCGGTGATAGTGTGGTCGGAGGTTGAACTGCCAAATGTATATGTGGAAAATGCGTTTCTGATGGTAAGGTAGCCTAAGCCAACATGATCGCCAACCTACCTGGCTCAATCTACTTCTAACTTTCCACAGTATCCCCCATTGGCATTGGCGTCGGAAGTAGAAGAATCACCCTATAGGAAGCAACGCGTAAAATCAGCATCTCAGGCAGAACCAGCCAGGCGAACTGTATTGTTAACGACCACGACCAGTTTCTGGGTTTGTTTGGTAGCCCGCGGGTCAATATGGGTGCAGTTAGATGTGCTGCAACGACCAACCAACGGACAATCATGCTACAATGACGAGTGGGTGATCCACCGAAAAAAGAAAAATCCAATGGATTCGCAGTGTGCCTTGCACGGCGCGCGTGCACCTCTACCGGGTGGCCTAGACACAAATCAGTATTATTGAATATCGGCTTGATACCAGTGCTTTACAGCTCAGTGATGTCTTTGTTACCGGACTGCTATTCAGTAAACAGTTTATAATATTAGACGTGTAACCTATATTATTAGGAAGATCAGACAAACAAGTACTGATTTTGCATTGGTTGCTCTTTGTGGTGTTCACATAATTTATACGGAGCGTTTCTCGAATATAGAACAATAATTCCAAGTGTTATTCTCGTGCAGCATATAAAGATTATTTTACCCTTTGTTGATGCATTAGCAAAAAGTGGCGTCAAGTAGATTGACTCTGCACTTCCCTTGCAACGCTGAGATAATGCATGGCACAAGTAAGCGCTTCTGAAAAAAAGCTAGCTACTAATATAACAACAAACTTGAATGGATTTGAATGGATCAAGTCAGTCAGACAATTAGTCCATAGTCATGCCCAAATGACAACGTCGCGATCTAGAAGCTTACCTACTCTACTGACACAACGGACCATCTGGCAACGCTGCTGTCACTATCCTCGCTAGTCATCATGACTGGGGCGAACCACCCATCGGTCAGACATCAGTGTGTTATTTTAAGTTCTAAAGGAAAATGTACGCGTGAAACATGTCTAATAGGTACGTAGAGTTACCGGAATTAAAAGCGTATTAATATGAGAGTATCAAAAATTGAGACGGACCGTCGTCTATCTCCTAAAATCGCTCAACTAAGGTCTAAACTCCTTCAGTTTTTCTGAAAATGTTCAGAAGTTAATAAACGAGTTTGAGCGACGTTAATTTTTTCCATTTTTATTTGTAGCTTCGCCGCCACTGAATCGACTGTCAAAAGCTCATCAAGATCCGACCGGTACTTTCTAGGTTAATGAAGGGCGAAGGATTAGCCGACAGACTGACCAACAGACAGACAGATATGCCTACGGAAATAAGTGACAAGGGCTTTTGGTGATGATATATACAGATGTAAATAATTTTGATGTATAAATGTTTTCGTGTATATCTAATCACTCAGTTTTGGAACATTTTATCATCTTTGTCCATGTTTCATTTCGTTTGCTCCTTTTTTGTTCAAACGTTATTATCGTGTTATTTGTATGTGTTGATAGAACACTTCTTAACCTGACAAAGTGCACTGTACGATATGTATCATTACACCATGTGGCTAATAAATCTATTCTATGCTAGTCTACGAAGCATATCATTAAAGTTACGAATTTTTTCACGATTACAAATCATTCCTGTCAATTGGCGTGGGAAGTCAAATAAAACATAAAGCTTGATCATTCAAATAAGAATTGTTCCACATGAATACACCCTGTTACAAAACATGAATCTTCCTTCTTACTGACTGCAGGGTTCTTAACAACTCTCGTTGGTTGGTGTAATAGAAAAACCTAAATGACATGTGGTTGGGATCAATGGCTTCTGTGAAAAGTGACCTTGATGTGACCTTGATGTGACCTTGCACTGCTCTTCAGCTGCCCTGATAGAGAGCAAACTAACCTCAGATTTGAAATCATCACATAAAAAAACACTACTAATAAACGAACAAATACCGTATTTTTGACAGCTTTCCGATGTTCTAGACCACTGTGCATTGAAGTCAAACGCTAAATACTTATATATATATATATATATATATATATATATGACCTTTGACACCAGGCTCAAATAGAAGCACCGTATCAAAAAAAAGAGTATGATCTATAATCAGATCTTAAAATCAGTGTGGCTCTATGGGGTTGTCAACAGTGTCGAAATTATCCAGAGTCCAAAATAAAGTTCTGAGGAACACGATAAATGCCTCTTGCTTCCGGGGATTGAAGAAGAACAAGCCCTATGAACTTGTGTAGTGTTTTGTGTCTAAAGTAGAGCAAAACAAAAAATGCCTATCAAGGATATGAGATATCAACAAGAATTAATGATTGAGATTCGATCGATATTTTGCGACCCTGTGATTCTCAGCCGTACGTTAGTATCCGTTGTCTTCTTCGACCTCGACGAAAACATCTAACAGGTTCTTTAAACGCATTTACTGCACACCATAAAGATTCCTCTGAGATTTTTTCATGAATATTAAATTTCAGGGAGGTGTACGGCTACATGGAGCCAGCTGGATTGCGTCGAGGTGCAATTTATAATAGACTCGTACCATTACGATGACAGCTTGCCTGCAATAACAATAGGTAAGATATTCAGTAATGGCATTAAACAGTGGGTAAACTTTGTTCTGAATCGCTGAATGATAACAAAAATTCGGAGGCCTCAGTTGTCACGTGGCGTGACCACAACTTAAACAAATGATGTCAAGTAGGTTGACCCTGCACCTCCTAAGCAACGCTGTCATTGATCCATAAAGCACTATGTTCGGCCAAAGTTAGTCCTTTGAGCTAGCTACAAAGATGTATCACAAAAAAATCAAGCAGATCAACTAAACCAAGCAGTTTTATACTCGTATATGTTACCGGACAAATCTGATTTTAGGATAAATTAATTTATCCTAGGCCAAATCAGTGTATCCGAAGAGCGATATGATGAACTAGTGTATCCTAGTCTAAACTGATTTATCCTGAGACCAATAAAGTGTGATTAGGCAAAACCGATTTTTCCTAGTCTTCACACAGTCTCTTCACAAAAGTAAGGTTTTTACTACTAATTGAAACATGTTTAATAATCTTTATTATTAACTTGTTATTATATGGCATGTCGAGTTGCACAGAACGTTATCTTTTTTGCAAATACATAGATTTGACGTACACTTCTTGGTGCAATTACACTTAAAAAAACCTTGGCCTGTTCCAACTGAATGTTTGATCGCTGCGGCTCTTAACAAAGTTCACTTCTTCTTCTTCAAATAAAAACTTTTGTGCGCATATATCAAATTCATTTCTGAAATGAAAATATTTAATTCTAATAAAATAAAAACCGCAGTAAAATAAGCAATCGCATTTTTAAATTTTTTGTCCCAATGTTATAACATCCGTCATCAGATGCTTCAAGCACAACTCCAATAACGTTCCGAAGATCTCCTTTAGCCCCGTTTACATCTTCTCCAACTGTCGCTGGTGGATGCGACTTGTGAGAGGTTGCTTTCATCTTTTTGGATTGTTTTTAAAGGCCCTGCGCAGCCTCTTAACGTACTTCTGAAATATTTTGTGAGGTTCCATCCATGCCATCGTCTCCATACCTATCTTCCATATTTATCTTCGTTTTCGAAAATCGTCCTCGTCTTCAATATCCTTTAGCAGTTTCGAAGGCAGGGAAGTAGTAGAGAGGCCACCTTGGGCTCCGCACCAAAGATTACCTCATATGAGGCGATTATTTAATTCCAGAATGGAATGCCCGATTTTTTGTAAACTGTACCGTACTCCTTCTGACCATTCAGTTGTCTGGCTGTCACTCATCAAAGTACTCAGCATGTTTTCAATATCTCGATTTGCTCTTTCGATTTTGGCTATGTCGTTGCTTTCGATAACACGATTTCAAGTTTCGGCCATAAGCGTGTCACTTCTAAAATTACACGATTCGCAAATTCCCGGTCATTGTCAGATTGTACAATGCATGGAATCCCGAAAGCTAAAAATACGAGTATATCATTTAAATGATAGGCTACCACTTCGGCTCTCTTACTTTCCAAGGGTCGAGGCAGAACAAACCTTGTTAGATGGTCCTGATAGCTAGTTCATCCTATCGCTGCTAGGATAAACTGATTTGGCCCAGGAAAAACTAGTTTATCGTAAAATCGGTAACATACAGGGTGGCGCGTCGAAAACGAAACAGACGCATTTACTGGCAGCTCAGTTTTTTTTTGGAAAAACGCTCAGACCCGTCGATTTTGGTTTCGAGGGGGACACAAGTTTTGCAAAAAATCATGTTAACACGTGCAGCCTTCTGGGCGGGGGTGACACCAACCCTAAAATCTTAAATGGAAAGGAGGGTCGAGTGACCTTATTTTAAAGGTCTTTCAATTACCTTTATAATGATGTAAAATACATGAGCTTTAGTTCAGTAGTTTTGAGGATTTATTGATTTAAAGCTTAAAGTAGACTTTAATACGTACATCAGATTAGTTTGTACTACTTTCAGAAGAAATTTGACTAAAAGAATTTACTTAATAAGTAAATGCTTTTATTCACTACGCGCATGGTTTGTTTATCATTTTGTTGTTGAAAATAGCTATTGGAGCGTTTTTTTTCTGACAAAAAACTTATTTCTTGAAGAAAGATAAGTAAATATCTCGTACTTATTTCAAATAGGAATTTAGTACATAGTTTGCGATTGATTTGACCAAACTTTGTTGCTAAAATAACTTGTAACGCTTTATTATATAAATTAACCACGGTATATCTCACAGCAGAAAGAGTTGACATTATCGAAACATTTTTCGGAAATATTCAGTGCGTCAATAGAACCGCAGAAATATTTAATGAGCGACTTG